CTGGTTCATGTCTTAGAGGTGAATATGGGGCCAGTAGGAGACTTAACAGAGCTCTGGTCCTCTGGGAAAAAAAATGGCTTAAGCATTCTTGACTTTTATTTCTTTATCAGTTAAATAAGGTATTGACTGAATAAATACATAATTTTCTTTAACAGTTCTAAAACTGTTTCTGTAAGAACTTGGATTGGAAGACTTAGTGTTAAATCATGTTTTACTAGAATAAGAATAGATTTTTATAATTTGGATAAATGTTGGAAGAATTTCATAAACCTTTAAAATACAGTCTTTGAGAGATTTTCCCTTTTATATTCATAACTATATCTTTTGCAGATATAAAAATCAAATGTCTTGGCATATATTTCTTTCTCTGACTACCTATTTTTCCTCTGGAAGAAAATTGTATGCGCTAGCATCAAACTGTTTGGTTCACTAGAAAGAGCAAACCAGTTTCACCCAAGGATAGGTAGACTCTTACGGGCCTCTCACTGCCAGGATGGATGAGCATGGGAAGCATGCCCACCTGCTCACACAAGCTTTCTTCTTTCTTCCTTTTCTTTTCTCTTCCTTCCTTCCTTCCTTCCTTCCTTCCTTCCTTCCTTCCTTCCTTCCTTCCTTCCTTCCTTCCTTCCTTTCTTATTTAATTTGTTGTTTAAAATTAAATTACCTGTATGTTTCATTTTGCATTTTCAGGATAAAGAAGTACGCGCAGTTTTCCTTAGGTTATTTGCACAACTCTTCCAAGGATATAGGTCATGCCTCCAGCTCATACGGATCCATGCTGAGCCCGTGATACATTTTCACAAAGTAAGACACAGTGCCGGGTTGCCTGTCTAGAGCACTCACTCGGTATACCCACTGTTAGCCATGTGTATTGAATTAAATTTTTAAATGCACTTAAAGTCTGTGTTATGTGACAAATAGAGCTGGTGTCATGTTTTTCTTCAGAATATGTAAGCTTAAAATTGATTTTTCTCTTATTAAAGTGTTATCAAGTATAAGTTGAGAATTAATATGTGATTTTTTCCTCCTGTCTTTTAGATGAACTCATTTTTTTTTCTTTCCAATACCTGTAATATTTCAGGTACCAAATAAAACTGTTTGAGAAAAATATATTTCATGACAATAGTTAGAATACCTAACGGCATTCAAGCAATCATCAATTTTTCTATTTTTTTTAACTTTTCTATTTTTTATTTTAACCATTTGTCCATTTCCCAGTGAAATTATCACTTCACTTTTTTTGTTTGTTTGTTTGTTTTTTCTTTACAGACAGCATTCTTGGGGCAGCGTGGCTTGGTAGAGAATGATTTCCTCACTAAAGTGCTCAATGGAATGGCATTTGCAGGTTTTGTTTCAGAAAGAGGACCTCCCTATAGAGCCTGTGATCTCTTTGATGAGGTACAGTTCTTATCAATGACTAATAGTTTAAAGCAAAACCCATTAACATTTACTCAAATTCTTAAACACCTTGTAATCTGTTATGTATATAAAATTGTGATAATTATAATGTTAATTGGAAAAATTAGAAAATTGTAGAATATTTCAGAAGTACATAAATTTTTTAACAACTAAGATTAGATAGTCTCTTAGATCTTTTTGAAAATTGGACAGTGCTTATATAAATAAAACTCAGTTTTTAAATACAGTTGTCAGTTTGCAGCTGGGTCTAACTTGATGCACAGATATATGACTCTAAATTGCATTTACATTTAGTCCATCAATGTCATAGAGCTGTAATTTAAATTTATAGCATTCCTATAATCAATAATAACCATCTTCTAGAAATGTTTGGGACAAATATGTAGTCTCTATCTTTTCAAGGATTTGACCATATAAGGGGAGACATAGAATAGATGACTAGGACACTATTTTACATTTATTGTGCTTTCTTTTTTTAGTGTACTTTTCATTTATCATTTTATTATATGTTCACTGAAGTGCATTATAAAAGACAGGAAAGTGAATTTCATTTATATTTTAGTTACTGAAACACCACTGTATTTGGAACCAATAGATTTTGAAGTTCCTGATGTCCATCAAAGAAAGTCACTCCTGGAACCTAGAGAGAGGCTTTGTTACCTCTTCCCAATGGTGGCTTGTCTTGTAGATAGTTAAATACTCACAGGTAAGGAGAGGGGAGCAGAGCTTCTGTCCTGAAGACAAAGGCCACACACCTGTATAGCACACACATAGCATCAGTAAGGCACTGGGTTTGATATATAGCACTACAAGAACAGAGGAATCCATTATGCTGAGAGGTCTTCCAGGCTATAGCTAAGGCTCTCGTTTCTTTGCTGTCTGTACTCTTGTCTCCTAAAGAAAAAAAAGTCAAATCCTCTCTCGTAGGCACATTGCCCTACAGCATCTTCTGAGGGTATTTCTAACTCAGCTACTTCAGCAAACCTAAAAATAAAAGCACAACACTCTTTAAAAGCATCAAATTTGAACATTAAATTTCTTACCAGCATTTTTGAGTGGGATAAAGCTGTTCGTGGAGGAGGGAAGGCATGATTTGCTACTTCCAAATCAGGGTGCAAAATCTAAAGTAAGCAAATTTATTATATATGTTATCTAGGATTAATAAGACTTACATTTTAGTTTGGGGGGGCATTAGGTGAACTATCAGTACATGTTATTAGATTATATTCCCACCATGAGATACAACTCAACTGATATAATTTTTACATGAACTGTTGTGGAAAATCTCTAAAATAAAACATTATATTAAAAAAAAAGTCCAGCCTCACATCATCCTGACTTGCCCACTTCTTTCTAGTCACTTACCGAGCTTCCTGTTAATAACAGTTAATGCCACTGTCTTTGATCATACTAACATTTATATCAACCTTTAGGTTCCTAGTTAAGTCCTCAGTGGTTGATGGCTTATATAGCTAAACTAAGATGCTTGCCAAAGTCCTTTTCACACTCCTTTGCTGGTCTCTGAAACTTTATTAATAGCAACATGAGTTTATGTGCTGTTTTTATTTCCTGCCCACATAATTCCTTGCTAACCTCTGGCAAGAAAATCAACTTGATTGCTTGCAGCATTAGACTTAAATGTTTCTCATCCTACCCTCTTTGATCATTTACATGAGAACATGTTTTATTAGGAAAATAACATTTGCTCCTTGGAAAGAGTTTCATTTCCCACATCGCATGGGTTCTATAGAGCTGTGAGAGGCAGCTTTCACTGTGCACTGTCTTTGGCTTACACTGTCATCAACTGTCATTACACCTTAGAAATGAAAAGCAAATCTGCCTTTCTTTGTATGACAGTCTTCTGAATATTGGTATAGAGTGGGAAATCTGCCTTCTCTGATTAATCTGTTAATTCCTAGAAGGAAGAAACTCTTCCTTTCCCCTTTTGCCTGTTTACTCTCCTCCATTTCTTTTTATGTTAGTAGCATACACTCCTACACAGTTGCCTTTGCAAATTAGTTAATAGAGAGGTGGACTCATTATATATCACTTGAGAACTAAAAGGAGCCTGAAGGTCATCCTGCCCTTCCATCTTCATTTAGAGGTGTGGAATCTGAACCCAGGTCATACTGTCCATAGAGTTCAGTCAGCATGACAGGAATTGTTTGTTTATATTTGTAAGTTGAAGAAGCATTTGGAGACTTTCTTGCCTTCTGAGTTTTTCCAAGGAAGTGAATTAGCATGTGTGGGGCCTTTAGAGTAAAAAGGCTTCTCTGCACTCTGTAGATGACCATCCCCCAAGAGTCACTGAATAGGGGCCACCTGGAAGCCTGTGTCATCCTGGGATAGAGGTGAAGCCCAGTATAACTCTGAGTAATTTGTTTTTAAAATAACATATTTTAGATGGCTTCTAGTTTGTCTATTGTTTGAAAATAACCGTTTTTAAATTCGGTGTATTTAGATACGGATTATAGCCATATGTTTCTTTTTCTAAGTTGGTGGCTTTTGAAGTAGAAAGAATTAAAGTTGAAGAAAATAATCCACTGAAGATGATAAAGCATATTAGAGAACTTGCTGAGCAGCTATTCAAAAATGTAAGTAAGTGTACTTAATCCATTTAGAAGTATTGATAAAACATTTCATTTTCAGAACAGAGAAGCTCCAGCTTTCAGCAGTAAAAATTATGCTCTGGATAATCAATCCTAAGGTGTTATACTTGGTCCTGTTTGTCAGAATGTATCACATTTTCACTGTATCATGAAGATGTCTGGCCTGCGTTTTCCCCATAAACCTTTTGCCCTCGTTGTGCTTTTTGTCTGTGTTTCCAGTTTAATACAGAACTTTAAACACATTGGAAGTCAGAAGAACCTTAGACAGCACTGAGGGACGTGCTCTGCTGCCTCATAGGGAACTGTGGATTAACAAGGCCGCGAACAAGGCCGCGAAGAAAGAAAGACACCTCAGGGGGAAAGTGCTCCCCCGGTAGGGGAAGGGTTGTCCATTAAAAGATGTGTGTGGTGAGCTAACCACCTGAGGTCTTAGGCTGGCAGCGAGATCGTGTGCACATAGAATTCCTACTTGTGAACTTTTGACTTCTTTTGCTAAGAGACATAAATCAAGTGGGGAATGTAGACCTCTGAAGTTGGTTGTTGTTTTATTTTTTTTAAGGAATTAGAGTGAAGAAGAACTTGATATTAATATCCTGGGTCCAATGCATATTGCTTAATCTAGCTATTTGACAAGGTAAACCATTTTGACAGTGAGTCATTAGTCATTGCTTTGTCAAATTCATTTGAAATCTGAGAACCAGTAAGTTAAAAGCAGAAATAATAAAACTATTACCTTGTTAATATTATTTAATTATATTTTTGCTTGTGTGTGCAAGTCGTGTGTGTGTGTGTGTGTGTGTGTGTGTGTGTGTGTGTGTGTGCACATGTGGGTGTGTTAAGGGTTGAACCCAGGGCCTTGTGCATGACATGTATCCACTATAGGTCTGAACTAGTCCCCCCACACTACTCAGTTACGCTCAAGTTCTCCATTTTGTATCAGACCTTCCTTTGAGAGAAATAATTTCTTTTTTATATATTCTTTCTTGTATGTATCAAAATTCATACTGAGCAGTGAGTTCTGGGTTGCAAAGGAGGATTTATTTTGTACCTGTACAACCTTGCCTTTGTCCATCAGCTGGGCAAAACCACACATAAGTGCTAGAGAAATAATTCTTTTGAACAATTCATATTAAAACAAATGGTGTTTCTTTTCTGAACTGAGCCCATCTAAGTTATGCTACATAACTGCATGTTCTTCATTTATTTCTTCAGTTACTAGTGATTTTTAGTTTCAGTTTTGACAGTGTGTTTTGCATAGCATAAACATAAACATAAACATAAACATAAAAAGAACAGTAATGCCAGAAGAAATTAGGCATAGCATGTTTGGCCTTTGCAAAAGATAATTTTCTATTTTAATTATTCAACATAGTAATACTTCAGTTGACTGTCATTGATAATTAGTTTCTTTTATAAGAAGCAATGTTTTGTAATCTTACACATATCTCATTTTAATCATGATTTATCAAGTTTAAATAAATGGGATTATATTAACTACTTTACATGTTATCTAAAATCCTGTAGCACCCATTTAAGGCAGGTCATTATATCCTCATTTTCTTGAGGATATAATTGACTCAGAATCATGTAGCTATTAAGTGATAGAATCCAGGGTTAAATTTATGAACTTTCTTATGTCTAATTCCTAACCTCATTCTGTCAGATTTGCTCTATCTGCAATAAAAAAAAAAAAAAAAGTAATAATCAGCCAGGCAGTGGTGGTGCACACCTTTAATCCCAGTACTAAGAAGGCAAAGGCAGGCAGATCTCAGTGAGAAGAGGCCAGTTCTACAAAGCAAGTTCCAGGACAGCCAGAAAAATTCTGTCTCAAAAACCAGCAACAAACAAACAAAAAAAGGTAACAATGTTTCCATTATACTTTATGACAGTGTTTTAGCATACTTTCTCACTTAGCAGTGACCCTGTGCTTGGCAATGACCCTGTGCAGTAAGAGAAGGCTGGTGTTGAACAGATGAGGAAATTGAAGATTAGGAAGTAGTTTATTCTTCTCTTGGAAGGAATGGTTTATTGATGCATTTCAAACATGAGGAAAATGTCAGCTGGGAATCAGTTTAATCAAACAACTCAAATAGGACTGATAACTAGCTGTTTATTTCTTTGATCTTTTTTTCAAGACTATTTCAGGACAAATGTTATAGCTAGTATAACATTTCTAGTTATACTATAGCTATAGCTTTATATATATAATATACATACTATATAGTATACATAGTATATACTATATACATATATATACTATATATACTATATAGTTATGCTATATACTATAACTATAGTTATAGTATAGCTAGTAAGGTGACCAAAATTAGAATTCTGGCATCATTTTGCCTCTATGTGAAGGCCAAGTGTCTACAAGGGATTGTGCCAAAATTCTTTAATGCAAAGACAAAATAAATGCTTGCTTCTTATATCTTAAATTGTATGATATATGCTTTATATTTACCAGTATATAACTAAAATACAATAAAGTGAATGTCTAGTAGTTATACATTCTTAAAAGTCAATCTAAATCACAGTGTCTTTTAGTTTTTAAAGTAATCATAATGAAACATTACATTCTTATATAAAATAAAAGTCACCTTATTTATTACGACTCTTTGAAATGCACTTTACATTTCATGAGTCGACTGAGCTGTTTTAAAAATCTAATTCAATTCCATTTAATTTAGTTGATTCCACTCAAACACTGTGTACTTATGAAATACCAGTGTCAAGTCTGTTTTAGGCACATGATTCTAATGTCTTTCAGAAAAGATACACAAACATGGTGATTGAGAATCCGAGAATATCATGCTGGGTTGTCGCCATTCCTTCTAGGTGTAAGATTCTGAAATTTGCGACAGCCCCAACATTACTAACATGGAAATACTTTGTGAAATTAAAACAAACAAACAAAAAACCCCAGACCATTGTGGTACAGTTACTTTGTGGGTCATGCAGGAAATTGAGACTACGAGGAATCATGTCAGTGTATGGAAAGTTAGCTACATAGTTCTATTTCTATATGAAAACCACTTTCACTCCCATGTCAAAGTCACATATCTAAAATTTCCATTTGTTAAGCAGGAACCAACCATATACTTTTACTGTTTGATTATTCTTGGGTTAGAATTAAAAAATAATGATCCCATTCAAATGTTTGTAAATACTTTGCTACATTTAAGTCTGGTATGCCTGTATAGCTTGTATGCTAGACCAGACTTTGCTACATTTAAGTCTTGGTATGCCTCTCATTTCAGGATTTAAAAGAGATCTTGGTTTTCCAGTTTCTTCTCATCACTCCTTTATTTAAACCTTGAGTGAGGTTTCAGGAATGTGAGTTTTATGATTTTAACTAGATTTAGCTGCTTTTCTTAGTTCCTGGAACTTTGAAATAATTAAGAAAAGTATAGGTGACTTCAGTAGCTTGGAAAGGTGGAATACAGGAGAAGACTAAATGCATTTGAGAGAAGTCATACAAGCATTAGTAGGGTTTCTACTACAAAGATTATTGTATACTCATCTATACAACTTGTCCTTCACTGCCCAGTTGGTAATACTGAAGGCTGCCCTCTGCCTTTCAGTGTCTGCGTGAGCACATATTTTCCTACTTAGGCACCTTATCCCTGTGATCCCAGACCTTATACAAGACCTCATAATTAAATGCCAAAATAATCAAGATAAGAATTTATGAATTTCATTTTGAAGTACTAGAAAATCAGTTAAAATAAGACCCTTTAACTCAAAGCATGAACTCTTCTGATTTGCTTGTTGCACAATAAATCAATTTATTATGATCTGTTTTACACAGAGTAAATTTTTAGTGCACACATCTACACATTTTGACATGTGCGTGGTGCCACCAGCACCATTGTAGGTGCATAAAACATTTTTCTCACTTGGAAAGTTCCTTGATACCTCTCTATAGTCACATCTTCATACCACCTCAAATGCTTGGTAACCATTGGTCTGTTTTCTGTCTCTGTGGCTTTCTTTCCACAGTTCAGTTGTTTTGAATAATACATAATGAATTTCAAATTCTTCCATGGTCACATATAGCTGGAAATTATACCTTTCGCATCTTAGTAGCATTTACTTGCATGGATTGCTCAAGTTTTATTTCTCTGTTGATCTGCTGAAAAAACAATTTTGGTAATAATGAGTATCCTAAACATTTATACAGGTATTTACATAAATATAAATTTTACTCCTCTTAGATAAATACTTGGGACTGAGATGCCAAGATATATAGCACAACATTTAACTTTGTTTCAAAACTGCTGATTTTTTTAAATGTCTATATTATTTTGCATCCTCACCAGCAGTAAATGAGAATTCCATTTGCTTTACATCTTCAGCAAAACTCAGTAACATAATTTGTTTTTTTCTTTGCTTTTCTTGCAGTCATTCTTCTAGGTTTGCAATAGTATAGCTTTGTGGCTATTTTAATTTCAGCAGGCAAATGAATAAGTGTTATCTTAGCTAATCGTTATATGCAAATACTGCCTTAATATTTGTGATACAAGTAATTAGGTAAGAATGCAGACTCTCCATCTGGAATCATTAAAGTAATGATTCTCAAAAAAAAAAAAAAAAAAAACCTTCCTTTTCTATCTAAAGAGATTGTCATATAAGGTCAATATCAGAAGATACTTTTGGTTATCACAGCTAGAGTGGCTGTGCTGTTGTCATCTATTAAATACAGGCCAGTAATGCTTCCAAGTATTTTACATGAAGACACACCACACCCATTGTAAACAAGGACCTGTCAAGTTTAAAATGCCGGTAGTATCAAGACTGAGAAGTACATCCAGTTAAGGTGAAGCAGTCAGAACGTCAGATGGGGAGAATATGCTATATTTCAGTGGTCATTAAAAGGGTTATCAAGTTGGAAAACTGAGAATATCTCATTCTATCAGTCTCATATACTGTCAGGCAGCTCAAGAGTTCAATTATATTGATAGTATTTAATGTTTACATAAGCAATAATAATGTCTTCAACTGTATTTGGGAGGATTTGTGTCATCTCCAGAGTTCTAGGTATGAATAGTGGACATTAAACACTTTTAAATATCTGAACTAAACTGGAATTTTTGGCAACCTCTAACAAAGCCACATTCATTTATCATTCACTGCTAAGTCCAAGTTGTAGGAAGTTTTTGTTGTTGTTTTGTTTGTTTGTTTTTGGCTACTGTGGCTATGGCCTGCTTTGAATTTCCAGTAAATCTTAGAATTTTTGTTTTGTTTTGCCTTTTTTTTTTATATGCATGCTTGGCCTTCTTTTCTATAAAACTAAAAACATTCTCATTTAGTCTGGCAAAGGAGGAAAAAAAATCACGTTGCCTGACCATATGGTGGTATATATGTCTGTAAATTTTTTTTAAGACTGAGAAAAACAATGAGCTTCTCCTTATGAGAACCTTATCAGGATTACGTAGACCATGCTTGAAAATCATCATCAAAATGTAAAATTTACTCCCAATGATAGGACTTTGTCAGGCTGTTCATTCTGGTGGCTTGCACAAAATTGTTTCTGTGTCACTCTGTTCAGTTGACTAAGTCTTTGGTTATTACTTTGTGCTTACATTTCTCTGAACTCTGGTAAAAATTTGTTCGTTTGGAATGTTAAAAAACAACAGATTTCCTTGTTTCTGCAGCAAAACTGGATTATAGTTTTTAACGAAATCAGGAACCTAAGGAGCCAGTCCAAACCCATTCATAGCGAGAAGTAAGAGTAGGTATTTCTATGACCCCCTGAATACAGCAAATCCTAACCTGAGTTTCCTTTCCTCCCTGCTCTTTTTCACATGTTCTCATGGGGACCAAGTTTAACATACTGTCCATTAGAGGGCAGTAGTGCACAGACAGAGCAGCCAGGAAACCAAACAGATTTCGCATGCAATAAACACAGTATGTCAGAATTTAGCAAATCTATCTAAGGTCTACATTTTGCTGTAATATGTTGCTGCAGATAAGCTCACCATTGAACTTATAACATGAGGTTTTCAAATACTTGTTATATAGATTTGGTTTACAGTTTTTCTGATTTTGTTTATAAGAATACTTTTAATGAGCAACATCTTTTTTTAAAGACGTGATT